GTTTTTTTGTTTTTGTTTTTTTTTAGTTGTTAGAAATTTTCCTCTTTCCTCAAAATTAAAAATTCCATTTCACTATAAAATTATGGAAATTAATCAATAATTAACTAAATCGCTTTTCACAAAATTCCACGTCTTTTTGAACACAATTTTCCAACCTGCTTCGCTATTTAAAAAGCMTTTTAACTATAAAAAATGAATATTAAAACTATTCTTGATTACTTTATCAAACGTATCTGTTAACTTGGCTATCTTTGAGCTATATTTTTCCTTTGTTATTTTTGTTTTCTTTCGTTTTTGGTTGTTTTCCTACGTCAGTTGAACTCGAAATTTCCTTCGCGTTGGGGATTCCAAGTTATTCAAAATTGTTTGTTCTACTAGTCCAGATGTTAAAAATATCGAAGAAAAAAGCAATTAGACTTGTAGGAAAATGATTAATTTTGTGAAAATTTAAATAAATTTGAAATTTTAAGAGATAAAAATAAAGAATATTCAGTTGCTTCTCGACATAAAATGTTACTATTAGAATYTTGACAGAAAAAAACCTTGGAAAATCTCTTATTATACAGACATAAATATTGTATGATTTAAGCGAGAATTATTGTCATTTCTACAATCCTGCTCATCTAACAAACTCCTGGATGCCATTAGAACAGCCAATAGCAACAACATATACTTTGCCTCAAAGTAAGAAGTTTGTTTTGCGGTAGACAGACAGAAGAGGAGTTATTATTCGGCAATTTCTACCAAGTTTGCTTAAAGTTATAGCACCATTAGCCAACTACACTTTGTAATGTAAGTCCTATAGAAGTTATAAACACTCTAACTTTGAAGTTAGTATGAAATTCTTGAAAATAACCGCACAATAAAAACAACGCTACGGGCCACACTGCTACTGTCACTAACTCTTGGTGCATATATTGAAGAAGAATCATCATCTTTTCAAGGTATGTCTTCTATCATTAAAGAGTTTAAGATTCTCGTTTACGGCAAACGTGAAACGTCAGTTCACCACTTTAAAAAATTCTTTAAACTTAGTGAAAAGGAATCGCAAAAATCTCCAAGAAGTAGATACACACACAMAAAAAAAMTTGTCTTTGTCGAGAAGGTTTGCAAAAGGTAAAGTGAAATGTAGGGAAATGATGAATACGTGGTCACGTTTGCCGTTTGCGGGAAGGAAAAGCGGGAATCTTAATCTGCCTATTATTATCGTTTCGACGTTGTGTGTTGCTAATTGTTAAAACTCAAGAAGCAAGTTATTATTTCATATTTCACACATTTTTCTTCGCGACGTGTCAAAGAGTAAAACCTCTTAACCACTCGTTATGAAAGGAATTATTAATATCACGAATAAAAAAACTATTAAACTGCTCCATATTTACAGCAAGRTTATATCATTTAGTGCCTCGATTATTCAGGTTTATTTTTTCTAAAAACCAGTTTCATTGTTGAAATCGTGCTCAGATCTGTATTCATTAAAGTAGTCTTTCGGACATTTCGTAAAGAAAATAATATTTTTTACAAATAATTTAATTGTCAACAAGGTGCTTAAAATATATCCTGTTTCTTGATTTAAATATTTACTATGTTGAAAGTAGCTAGTGGTCGTTTATAATGGACCTAAATAACACGACCACTCTTGATAGTACGTCCATCCTATCTGACATAAATAACCTTACAATACGACCGACTTAATATCAAGAACTTTATTAATACGACCAACTTTTCTACGACCACTTTTTGTAATAAGACCGACCGATCGAATTAAATGATCATTATGTGTTAACAAGCAAGTTAAGTCTAGACAAATATTGTTGAACAGTCTAGTATTTGGGATCATCGTCATCATCATAAATCAGCAGCAGCATCACCATTATGATCATGATCATCACCATCATATATCAATCATCATCATCACCATCATCACCACCACCATCATCATCATCGCCATAATCATGCAGTATATTGTATTTTCTTTTCAGTTTATCAAGATGATACTATTGAAGTCAGGCAGCAATGGAACCACGACGACGACCTGCAGGAACTGCATCGATATGTGTAAGTAACCAAGATATGACCAGGGCTCTGATTGGACGATTCAAAAATCATCTGATTGATCTATAACTCAGATCATAAGAGGGTGCAAATAGTGTTAGTATTTAACTGACAATTGGCCAAAAAATAATAGTTCACTGGCAAATAATCTAAAATTAGTAGTTAACAGTTAGAGTACAAACACTAAAAGTGTGCAACACTTTGCACTATTTCGGTAGTAAATAGTGCTAATTAAACAAAAGAAAACAATAGGATTAGCATAATTTAGCAGTATTTAGTGGTATTTATGTTACACACTTATGGTACTTTAACTGATATTTCATTATTTTGGTTAATAGAGTGCTCACACTAAATCCGTGAAACAAATACTAGTTTTTAGTACTAAATAGTGATAATCAAACAATAGAAAACAAAGGATTCTGTATGAAATAGTACTAATTAGTGCTAAATATTATTGACGGGTTTAGTCTTGAACTCTATTTTGGCCAGCGCTCGTAAAATTATTAGAGTTAACTGACATTTGGCCGAAAAATTAATATTGAACTGACACATACAGCTATTGGCACCCTCTTATAACATAGAACGAGCACTCTAACTGAATAATCCCAAAAAATGTAGAAAATCTCTAAAAAATAGGGGAAGTAAGGAGACATCTGATTGGTGGAATCATAAGGCTGCGTTCA